TCCAAGCAGTCACTGCAGAGTCGGTAACGACTGAGCGCAGATAAAAAAAAAAAAAAAAAACTCAGCTAAAACTGAGCAAACTACATTATGCCACAATATGACAACCCAGTCTTGATCTTACTTGATTTCTCTTCAGATTGTATAAATCTTTCACTTTTTGCCTTGAGAGACTGGCTGGCTGTACCTGTGTCTATTTGCTAGTGAAAAAAAAGGAAATAGGCGTTGTTTTTGTTTTTAAATAAACTTTTTGCTCTGTTGAGCTTTTGCTCTTGAGATATGTAGGGACTTCCCTTTCATAAAACAATTTGTATTCTTATTATTAATTTCATTAGCATTACTAATATTGCTGAGACTTTTTTTTCAATTAAAACCATGTCTGTAATGTTTTCCCATGAGAATAGGATCTATATGGTCATAAGACTGTAGAAACATCAAACTCTACCCTCTTATATGCCTATTTAGTGAAAGGGTTCTAACATCTGACCCACCTTTATTCATTGAAAAAAGAAAAAGCTCTGTAAGATCTGTGCAAATATATAAATTGTTTGTGAAAGAGAATATACCAAAAGTGCTGATTAGACTTCAGTTCTCTGCTAATTTCCCAGTCTCAGGTTTGCTAAGCTTCATTTTTGTTTGATACTGATCTCAGTTATGCAAAAGCATGGAAGATGGAATTCCAACATTCTTGCTGAAATAGATAATTAACAATTCAGTCTTAAAATGTGCATGAGCACCCATACACCCCACAGAAATATATACAGTACCCAAGTCCACCTTAACACTGGATAGCTTTCCACTCTGAAGAGATGTGCTAACAAAAAGGCAAAGTTCTTAGGCTTCATACGTATATACAATATTCAGTTATACTAAGTTAAGATATTGTTGATCCTGATTAAGTTGACTTTCTGGTTTCCCTGTATACCTTTGGATTATTCCACTATCTAAAACCTCATCAGAAGCTCACAGCTATTCAGACTGATCCAAGTCTCTGAGCTGGGAAATGGATCAGATTCTGGAACAGGGAGAGAACCCAGTCTGAAAGAAACAGACTTACCTACAGCTCAAATCAGAATGGCCATGGAAGACAATGTCCAAGGATCAGAGGGGAGAGGAATGTCTGCACCAACCTAAAGTGGCCAGTAAGTGCCAGGCTGACCTCACCCCTTAGGGGTTGCCTAACTGCACCACCAACAGAACAACTAATGAAGCATGTTGGAGTGTATCCACCTGTGTCAGGAAAAGGTGGTAATACTAATGATGGACCTGGTAAGGACCCCTCAGGTATGGACTGGGAATCAGAAGGCACCATGATGAGGGCCCAGTGGAAGTTGCTGGGGCACGTGAGGGGCACGAAATTGAGAAATATGTGCGATTCCTATGGGAAAGCAAGAATCTATGCCTCAACCTATAATGGGTCTTTTAATCTTAGTAACCCATCTGTCTTTAGGGCAGGGATGTGGTAACCTCCCAGGGCACAGAGGAATTAGCTTGTAATTTCTCCTCCCTTATAGTAGAGAGAGATAATAGGTGCCTT